CAGCAATTATCCAGCTGCAGCAACTTTCTTTTTCATTGCGGATAATGCCAACCTTGAAATGTCTAAATTTACCACGCCGGACAGTCCCCCATTCGCGGATAAAGTACGAAAAGTATGGGGGCCAGCTCAGAAATTCCATTAACCACGCTCATTTTGGTAGCCCCCAAAACGCCGGCGCAAACAAATTATTGCGTTTAAAAATAATTTCCTTTAAAAATAAACTTAATGAAACAGCGCGTGATGTGCAATTGACACGAAGAGCTGTGAAGCCCGGATCGCTGGCTTATGGAATGGATATGTGCGGGGCCAATGCAAACAATTTGCCCCACAGATTCCATCGGCTACTGGCTGCACGCACTTGGGACCGAACCTGAAACTGAATCTTGGCTTTGAAGCATGGGGAATGGGTGAGCAAACCCATAATTATCCGTGGGCCCGACCATCGTGTCATGAGAAAAACGTTTATGGCACAGCAAAAGCTCCAATTTGCCGGGCTGATTTCGCAGCTGCCGCTGGTGGGTCCCCCTCTGCGGATCGGTGGGCATTATAATTAATCAAGAAATGTATGCACAGAAATCAAAAATAATCATCAATGCCTCGGCCCGAGGTGTGATGAGAAAGTGTTGCAGTTGTTGAAAGCGATTGCCCACGGCCAATGCCAATGCAAAAGTCGGAGCGTCAAGTGTCCGCCATTATCACCATCATCATCATCATCGTGATAGCCCAAACAACAAGGCGCAACAATTTGGCATTACATGGAAACTGCACTCGATATTAGCTGAAAGCGGAAAGGGAACCCGAATCGCACGATGGGCTGGTCCTCTTGTCTCGCACCATTTAATTAGATGCCGCGTCAACAAGGTGCTAAATGGGCTGCCATTATGCTGCTGCCACAGCGTTGGGCCGCGTGGGCTGGACGGATGCTGCACACAGCAAGAAAATACTACATACTATTGGGTGATCTTAAAAAATACATTACAAACGTTTATTTTTATTGGCAAATGACTGCAGAAACACTGCTTTGAATCATAAAACCCTGCTGATAATGATTAATAAATTAAATTGTAGGGGAGCATGGGGCATTGTCGACAGTGGGGTAAAGTCGACACCCGTTCTTAAAAAAAAAACTATAAATCATATCGACGTAATTTTTTTACCGAATGTAGATCCTAAGAGCCCCACATTACCAACGAAGTTTGGTGGCATTCTGAGTTATGGAAAATTTGTTATTACGTCACATGTGTTTTTGGCACACAAAAGTAAAATTTTCCGATCGTGTGAAGTTTGGTTTTTTAAGAATTGTGCATTGCGAAGAGTTATCAAGGTATGTTGGCTTTATTCAGTAGAGTTCACAGAAGATATAAATGACACTCGTCATAAAATTTTATTATATTATCATGATTTTTATGTAACTTGTTTGCAAAAATGTCGTGTGGGGCATTGTCGACACTATGTATGTGGGGTAAAGTCGACACCGACATTAAAGCGTGTTTGCCTCTGTGCACTTTACAAAATTGAATGCGTTGAAGAATTTTGATCAACTTTGCCATGTTTGCCACCCAATGGTACGCAATTATAAAAGGAAAACGGTTTCCGTAAGCGTGGAAAATATCAAAACGGCCATCCACGCAGTACGATCGGAAGGCTTAGCTGCAAAAAAGGCAGCTGAAAAATAAGACATTCCCCGAGGAACATTAATTGATTGGCTGAAAAGGAAGTGATGGGTAGATGGCTGTATTTTGTAAACATTTTACTTATTGACGAATAAATATTGATACCTTATGATTTTGTGTTCATTTTCTTCGAGTTTCAGGTATGTGTCGACTTTGCCCCAGGGGGGTGTCGACTTTACCCCACGATTTTTCAATTTCTGAATTTGACAACACTTCAGATTTTTGGTTACCACACTCACCCCCTTGACAATAGACCAAAAAACTTTTTGAATGTTATTAGCCAGATCTTTTTCGAATACAACGATATGCATTACATTATAAAAAAATATATTTTCACTATGAAAAAACGACTTTGAAAAAAAAGTGTCGACAATGCCCCATGCTCCCCTACTCTTCAACTCTGAAAATTAAATTTACATTGGCCACAAGGATCTAATTTAAAAAGTTCATATCAACATCATTACTTTAATGAAGTCAATTTTTCATGTGATAATTTAGATTTTATTGTAAAACAAATTTTGCTCCTTATGATGACAGCTACTAGTTTTAAATTAGTTAAAAGGGTTTTCAGTCAATTGTGATTATTTTCTGGCTTAAGTTTTAGTTTGTTATTAAATGGCACATAATAATTTGACAAATTGCTTAAGATTTTTATCAGTACACCGATGCTGCTTGTGTTACCGAAAAAATGAAAGCTAACCGGGCTGCAAGCAGCTGTCGGAGGAGCTGCCCCACCCGGGGGCATGCGCTGCTCTCCTTGTTCGATGGGCTCACCTCGTTGATTCGCCGGGCAGTCCAGTTGTCCGGCTGTCCGGCTGTCCGATTGTCCGGCAGTGCTGATTATGCAGAGGTGATAATTGCAGTGTCCGGCGCGTCAAGATTTATTTTTTGAGCTTTAACGATGTGTTAAAATAAATTGCATATCTGCTCGGCGGCCGACCGCTTCACACTCTCTCTTCACGCGCGATTCTGGCAGCCCGTGAAAACCCACAAAACGTCGCGCCTGTGTACATAAAACTTTAATGGGCGCCTGCTGCATCTGCCATACATATAAAAATATGTATATATATATATAGTGTACCTCTGTGTCGCACTCACCCCACTTTATTTCGCCCCACGATGTAATTGCGAGCGGGCTTATTAAAATATCAGCGAGTGTCGGGAGGCAGAGGCGTACGCCCGCCCATAAATCGCAGGAAAGACTTTCTAAAAATCGCAGATTTATTGCCCAGTAGAGTTCAACTTTTTTGATTTTTTTTTTTTCGTTTTTTGTACAACTAACGGTTGGCGATGCGATCGTAATTCGATATCCCTCTCAATGGGCCCCCTTCTAACCTCAAAAATGTCTGTCTGCCTTCCAGTGAATTCTGCTTCACCTCTGGCCCCAAGCAAAAAGTTCTGAATTTGTCGAAATCGGATCTGTTCGAGGATATCGTATGTTTTTTTTTCGACTTGCCTGTTGCGTTTTTCAGCCTAATCAGTCGTGAATAATTTGCAGCTACTGTGTACGCCCCAGGATTTTGGATCGATGGCGCGGGGGGCGCTCCTTCCGCTTGGCTAAAGCGTGTCTGCAACATATGGCTCCCCCAAATCTCCCTGCAGCCTGTCTACAGCTGTAAAAAGTCTGGCTCTGGCTGCACTTTGCATTCCTCGTACACTTTTTGCGCCTCCTGTTCTTTTTTTCGGGTGTAGCACGTGCTTCAATGCACATGACACCGAATCAGAGTCAGATTTTTGAGACCAGGGCTCTGGACAGCAAGTGAAGGAGTCGGTTGAGATTTTCACAGGAGCTATGGAGGGGTTAAAAAATTTGAGTTGCAAGCCTGCAGTTTATAAATGAAATTAAAAACACTTTGGCTTGAAAGATTTGGTCCAAATAATGTAATATTTCTGCAATTTATATTTTCCTCAATAAGTTGCCACTATACTTTTATTTTTTTACAGACCTTTTAAGTTTATAATTTACAATAATTGTGTGGAAGCCCTTTTGTGGTACACAAAACCCCCAAAAAGGAAGTAAGGAATAACCACCATCAAGTGATTGCCCTGAGACCAGTCACAATCTGCAGATTAGACGAACCCATTGAGCACTCAGAATGCTCGACCCGACTTTGTTTTAATCGCACATTTCCCCGAAATTGGCAGCTTTGTCCATCATCAATCCGCTGTGAATGCCACCAACGAAGTTGGCCAGTCGAGCACTTCCAACCTCGATGGCAGCTGCCAGAAGGGAACTGGGGATCCATCAGCCAGGGACATCCGCCCAGCTCACTTCCCCAAGAAATTCGGCAAATCATGAAAGCTCGCGATTCTTAGAAATTAGCCTGCCTAGAAACTCTATCTAGTCAGTGGAGCCGAGGGCAGGCCAGCTCATTGATTTTCGAGGCGGCTTTTTGATCTTCGGCCGGCGGAGCGGATCGATGGATTGATCGACTGCCCGAGCTCATCGACAGCTGTTTCAGCTGGATCGCCAAAGGTCTCAAATCGCGAAAAAGGTTTGAAAGCTTGCGCATGCGCCAAACGTTTGCTCAGCGGTCTAATGATAATCCCCTTTCTGGGACAGTTGGCCAAAACCTGGTTTGCCTGGAACTGGCTGCCAACTGCTAGTCAAAAGCGGGGGCCTCTTTTAAATCTAAAAGCAAACAAGAGTTCCACCAGCTGAAAAAACCTCTTCCTGGATTGTGTCTGCAAGCCTTTGATATTAAAATGTGATTCCTTTATAAAAAAATATATAAAAATACAATTATTTTTAAATTACGTTATCATAATATTTAATGTTTACAGCCTTCAAATTGGCAGGAAAGTTTGTTAATAAGTCGGAACACCTACCGATATAAAATTGAACACCTACCAATTTTAAATAATAAAACAACGAAAGAAAAACACTCACATTTAATGTATTTAAATAAGTGAATTATCTTTTTATGTTATATGATTTATTATAAATAAATTTGATGAGTATTATTCAAAAATTTCCTTTTCAAATTAATGTAAAAATTGTAGGTATAGGTATACTTTCTTTTCCCATTTAAACGTCAAAAAGATCATTTTCCATGCGATCTTCATGACCTTTTACATTTGTAGATTGAGACGCCACTTCATGGCACGTCTGAAAATGGAACTAACAATATCTACATTTTGACAACCAGTTATCGATAGTTTAGGATCTCCGATTCAAAACTAGTTTTGAATTGTTGGTGGTCGACTGATTAACAGACTTTATATTTTAAAAAGAAGTAGATGATCTTAGAAAAACAAGGGTACCATATCCCTTTATTTCCCTTTATCAAAAGCCCAGAACCTATCCTTTTGATTATAAATGCACACTTGTTTTTGACGTTTTTATATAAAAGTTTTCATACAATTTGATCCTTATTCAAAAATTTACCGACAAACTAATGCTAAATGTATAAACAAATTTCCATTACGACCTTAAATTAAAACGGTAAATTAAAAGGATATAAAAGGGTTGGGGAAAACGAGTTGTTAACAATGCAAGGATTTATACTCTAACATTTGAATGTATCTCCATGGCAGACATACATGTTAAAAAGGGCGCTAAGCAGTAAAATAAATATCAATCTGTTTTGTGTTCCTCATTCGTTTCTATAGGATTCCAGTTGTTTTCAGACTGAGGCAATTTTATAGCAGGCGAGCTAGCCAGTCGGTGAGGGGATTCAGTTCCTTATCCTTGGCGGAGGTCTCCACAAACTGGATATTCTGTGCGATGTGTGAGAACTCAAAATCGCGACCTGGCTTGCCAAGAGTGATGGTTTTCTGGGTTTCCTCGTCTCCCACAGACTGCAGTTTTCGGCTCCTTGTGTCACGCACTGTGTGAATCTCCTTCTCAAGTAGGGTTTTTATAACCTGAGCACTCTTGGCGGTGGTCTGATCCTGTTTGTTACAGAGAACTAACACTGAACAGGGCTGGGTGGCACTGTCTGATAAGATGGTGTACAGCGAACTAGAAAAATAATACGATTAGAATGTGTTTTGGGGAGTGTCAGCTACGAAAACTTACTCAGCCACATCACGAATGTCCTTTTGGGCAGTAACCGAGTCCACTACAAAGACAATGCCCTTGGCACGATGTTTATAAAGCTCAAAGCACTTGTCACGCACTCGGTAATGTCCGGGGATATCCACTAATCTGGCCGACGAGCTGCCCGCGTGGTAATCTCCTACATTCTCCTTGATCGAAGTAAAAGTTGCCGGGAATTTGCCATGGAGTAACTGCATAAAGATTGCGCTTTTGCCCGATTCACTGAGTCCAGTAAGCAGGAAGTCCTTGCGGCCAGCGGACCGTTTTCGCAGGATCACAAAGATAGCTAAAAGTGGGATATGTTGAGTGGAATTAGAAATTTTCGGTGGGACTCCCGGGGACAACAGGCAACCAGTTACCACGTGGCGTACTCACCTACTGCGATGAAGCCCAATAGAAGGGCCACTAAAATCGGGCCCGTGTCGATCTCGCCCAGCTTGATTTGCTTTCTCTCCCGTGCATTTTCATTTAGTTTGTTCATTTTCGCCTAACAAAAACACCAAACAAATTCGATGGGGGAAAATGACACGCACTCATATAAGAAGAGCGGTTTGCAACACTGTTTAGCCAAAAAGTGTGTATAGTCCCAAAAGTGAGGCGCGAAATTCAAAAAATACCTTATGTGAAAATACATTTATTGGATGTGTTTACATAGTTTACAAAAAACTGGGCTTTTACATTAGATTATTAATGCGTGAATGAAGCTTAGCAAACCATAACAAAGTACATAGTGTCGAGCGCTCTCTAACAGTTAAACTATATGGAGGGATTTCATCCGAACTAAATCACGCCCTGCGGTTTTTTACCAGACCGTATATGAGGCGGAAGGTCAGGTTGCACGAAAACGCCCACGCGGGAACGGAAATCGCATTGGCCACGCCGGTGGGGAAACTAAGGAGTCCGGTAAACGGGGCCAAACTAATGGCCTCATCGATGATCATTACCGGCGTTCCTCGGTTCCGAATACTGACAATGACAGTAATTAGGGATAGAAGCACCTTGGAACCGTAGAACACCGCCGTATCAATGCCCATTCGCATTAGGTTCTCTACTCCACGGGCGGATTTCAACTTGGCCTCCGCCTCCGCCACTTTCCTCTCGGCGCGCATTATTTTGATGGTTCTGGCATATTCCCCGGAGTGCTCAGCATTGCGCACCTGCTCCTCTTGTTCCCGGGCAGAGTCCACCTCCGATTGCAACTGCCGGATTTCCGATGAGTTCCTGGCTCCCCACAAACGCGACACTTTGAGCTGCGGAACGAAGGGTAATTTTGTCACCGGGTTTCGACTTTACTTGGGGTACATACGTAGTTCTTTATAAAGTCTGGCAGGATTGTGTTCAGCAGGCTGAGCAGCGCAATGATGGCAAACAGCGTCATGGTTTTAAGTCAATTTTGTTTCCAATTAGGGAATTATGCGGCCAGTCTCTGTAAAATTGCGTAGGAATAACAAAATAGAGCGGCAGTGCTGGAAATCAGCTCAGCAAAAGTCAGCTGATGAACTCCACACAGAGGTATGGCAATGGGGTACCTATGTCCAATTGGTTTTGCATTTTTTTTTTATTTACAATCTGTCTTTTTACCAAAAAGTAAATTTTATAATTAAGCCCTGCTATTAATATAACATCTTTAAAGTATTCTGGATTTATCAATCGTGAAGCTCGAGATTGTAGTATCTTTTCAGTCTTCTTACTGTTAAACTGTTGTCTACTAGACTGCAAGACGATGTATTTTTTTATGGTGGGAATATTAAGATCTCTGCAAATATTTGCATTAGATAAGAAAAATGGAGCTTTGACAATTTTTCGCAAACTTTTTGATTGGTAACGCTGAATTACAAGCCAAAGAAGCTTTAGCATGGATTTGTAGAGGCGAATTTTGTTTTTTCGAAATGGGGACATTTTTAGTGTTTTAACAAAATGTATTTAAGAATTAAACTCTCTTTGAATGAAAAGCATCATGAATCTAGAAGTGTTGTGGACATTACAGAGCAGATTTTAATCCCTTCCTGTAATTTTTAAGGAGATCCTACTACTCCTATGTTCTTGGATTGCGAGAAAGTTGGCAGCACCAAGTGTGTCCAGTATTGGGTAACTCCTTCAGCTCACAGCTGTGCCGGCAAAACAAACCACATCTGCTCAAAGTTTCTTGAATATTCCACGGTTTTAGGATTTCGCGAGTAATCAATGAGCCACCGTGATAATGGAAGATAGGAATGAAGAAGTAAGTAGATGTCCTTAAAACGTTGTTTAAATAATAAAAGATGTTTTCTACAGATTGAACCGTGCAGGAGCATCGGGCCTCATGAACTAGATGTAGTGAAGAGTCAGGCGGTGATTAAGTTGTCACCCGTGCAGCTGCCCGCCCACTTCAAGCGGCTGGAGTGCAACACAAACTTGAATTTGCCTCCTCTAAACTGGCTAACCACATCGCACAGTAGCCATGGATTACACCAGGCCCTGTATCAGAGTGCCGGATTTGCGAGTTTTCGATTGGGCCAGATGTTTCCCGACTGTGTGGGCGAGGTGGATGTGGTCAGCGATGCAGAGAACATAAAACAGCTGCTCAAGTTGCCGTACAGCGCACAGAGCGCCATCAGCATGGTGGTGCACAAAGTGGGCAACACGTTGCTCCTTGACGAGTTCGATATTCAAAAGTATCTGCTGCGAAAGGCGGACGACGACTGGAAATGGCTGCGATCATTCATTCTGGAGCACATCCTCACATATGGCGACAAGCAGCATAATTACTGCTTGAAGGAGCGCTCTCGCGAGGTGCTGCAAACCAAGAACCTTCTATCGAAGTTTCTGTATCACAGCCTAAAACAAACTGGCGATGATTTAGACTACGATGTGGCCACCACACCCACTCAGTTGACCAGCAGACGGCAGGGTTTACCCATCGCGGGTCCCGTTCTTCCCGAACCCAAAATAGAGGAGAATGTGCCGGATCCGAAGTCCAGTCATGCCTTCAATAGGAATGTGGTCTGGACCTTTGAGGACATACGTATGTTGATTGGCACCGATATGCCCATTTTTGGAGGACCCAACAGGCCGTGTATCAGCTTGCGTTTGAGGGATGCAGCCCAGCCCATAAATGTACTCACAGGAATTGATTACTGGCTGGACAACCTCATGTGCAATGTGCCCGAGGTGGTAATGTGCTACCATCTGGATGGTATAGTGCAGAAATACGAGATCATCAAGACTGAGGACCTGCCCTACCTGGAGAACTCGCAATTTTCACCTCAGGTCGTTCGCAATGTGGCTCAGAACATCCTGGCCTTTTTGAAGGCCAATGCCACCAAGGCGGGCCACACTTACTGGCTGTTTAAAGGACGCAACGATGACGTAGTGAAGCTGTATGATCTCACCACTTTATGCCAAAGCCAGGCAGCTGAGAAATCGGAGGGTGATCCGCCCCAGCAACAGGCAAATCCCTTCACAGTTCCGGTGGGCATGCTACTGTACTCGGTGGCCCGAAACATGAAAAACACATTGCCGCACATTAGTCCCAAGGCAGCGGGTAACATACGTGCTTTGTTGGACAATTGCATCAAGCTACTGCCCAAGGAGCAATACCCCCAGATCGTCAGCTCTTCGCATTACATTCTCTCGGATCTGCATGTGCCTGCGGGCATTGATCCCAAGGCGCCCAAGTTCGAGGAGGTGGATTCGGACGATCAGTCGCTGTACGACGACGATGAGGAGGAGGATGAAGAGGATTATGAAGATGAACTTCTGGATTATCAAAGCGAGAAGTGCTACCAAAGCAGCGAGCAGGGCGGCGGCAAGGCCAACGTGGCAGTGCGGCATATTTGTGATGCCCTGAGGGACTTCAAATCCCATGCCAAGAAATCCAAGCCGGCTCCACTTTTGGCCACAACTGCAGAGAGGTGTAGTATTTCTTTGGAGCACATCAGTGCTGGTCTGTCCTGCCTGCAGTACTTTAATGGCAGTCAGGAGGAGAAACTGAAGGAATCGGAGACGAATGCCAAGCAGGAGGAGAAGCGTCGCATTCTTCACGAGGAGCAGAACCCAAACATGGCCAAGCCTTTCAGTGCCATTCCTCTGCCCTACGAACAGCTTAAGCTGAGCCAGCAGCCAGTCCAAGTTGTAAAGAAACCAAACTCCAAGGCCAAACGGAGCAAGTCCAAGGAGTTAGCCACCACTGCCAAGTCGAGTTCCACCAATGCCAGCAATCAGCAGATGAGTGCCAAGTTCAACACACAGCACTTTGGCTCCTGGAACGTGCATCTCAAGCTGTTGCTGCTGGAGAAGGCATGTCTGACATTTGCCACCCTGGCAGAGCACTATTACGAATCCCGTAGATACGGTTCCACACTGCGATCAATTGAGCTCGCTTGCCGATGCCAACAGGTGCTCAACAAGTACATGGCCAATGTGGTTTCCCAGCACAGTTGCCTTCTGGGTCGAGCAGGGGACTGTTTCTTCCAAATGTCCAAGAACTGGGAGGCCATTGAGGAGTACGTGCAGCAGTATGAAGAGCAAGATGAATCTGTGGGAGTTATTGGTGAAGAATTGACGCAGGAACTGGAAGGAGAGGAGGAAGAGTTTCCATCGCTGGCGCCGGCTAACAACTTGGAGCAGGTGATGTTGCACAGCTGCAAGTGCTACGAACAGGCTTTGGAGCATGCACATAAAACGGAGAGCAATGAGCTTCTCAGGAGATTGGGGAACGTGCGGAACGAGCTGGGTCTTAAGTACATGTACTGGGCTCAAGGTAGATACAACCAAATATCAAAAACAACACTCAAGTAATCATTTTCTAACTTTTCAGAGGAGTACAGCGAACTGATGAAGAAAAAGGAGTCTGGCGATGATAAACCAGTGGAAAAACCAACTACAGATTCAAACGAGCCTCTCTATGTTAAGCTGACTGTCAATTCTTATGATTGCCTACGTCGAGGCATCGAAGCATTCACTGCCGTGGAAGATAATGTAAATCTGGCCTTTCTATATTGTAACATGGGTCGATTTATGCGACTGCGCGCCCATCTTACCATGCCCAATGAAAGGTGAATGGTATATGATTATCTTAAATGTAACACAACCATAATTTTTTTATTTTCTTACAGTACCATTACACTAGATAGCCAAAAAGCCTTCTATAGCGAGGCGTTTAACTACTACGAAAAGGCGAAAGATTGCCTGGATACTCGAAAAGCGAATGCTGAGCTGTGGGACCTTGTTCACTGGGAACTTTCCACTGCCACTTTTACATTAGCCAAACAACTTCAGGACTACAGTGCGGCAGACAAATCCAGCCTGGCTGATGCCTCAAAGGAGGTGCACGAATTGCTCCAGAAGTCACTGCGACTTTGTGATGTGGAGCACCCAGGTGCTCGTCAAGTACTATATAGTTTTCGATCAGGACTGATACACAAAAGGTAAGTTGAAGATCTCTACTTTAAATCAATCTGTATTAAGCCATGCTCGACTTTTCCAGGATTGCCTCGTTTCACTACGCGCAGCTGCGTTCCCACGGCTGCTGTGATTTTTCACAGCTGCCCAAGTCGACTCTACAACTGTGCAAGTATCACTACGAAAAGGCCACGCAAATACTGGAGGCTCTCAAGGAGGTGGGCGACCTGCTGGTGGTACAGCTGGAGCGGATCTCCCTACACGAATTTCTGGCTGAACGTGAGTGTACAAAACCATTGATAAACAACCATTGACTAAAGAATTTTCCCCCAATCGCTCTACAGTTTCCACTCATACCGCTCAGAAGATCAAGCAAATGCAAGCGGCTTTGGACATTTGCTTACAGTGCCACCTCATATTTGACCACGTCATCGATGCTAACAGTGGTCAGGTGGCCGACGATGAGTTTGCCGGCCATTTGACGCTCTTTGAGAGCCGCTTGCAGAATGCTCTGAAGACGCTAACGAAGCTCACGCTGACCGGCAAGGATCCCAAACAGCTGTCCAAGCTGTACAAGCGCATGTATATGGAAACCTTGACTGGGAAACATGGCCTAGGGGCCCAGCAATCGCCGACAGCTTGCTTAAAGCATTTGCACATGCTGCTCGCCCGGCTGCGGGCCATGTGCGATACCCAGTTGGCCCGCGACTAGACGTACGTGTCTTCTGATGGGTTTTAGCCCAGAACCCACAACCGTTCGAATTGTATGCATTGCTCGTCGCTTGTTTATTGATGTATCATCTTAACCCCGCCGCCCGCAGCCGCACTCATCGCTGTCCAAGTGATTGGCTCCGATCTGCAAAGCAGCCACCACCAGCAGCACAGCCATCTCTAGGATCTGCCGATCAGAAGAAACAATTATTGCAGCCATCAATGATGACCCCGTAATCAGTGCATCTCACCTTGCAGCGCAGACTTCTCATTTTGTAAGCGTTTGGAGCCAGTTGTTGAGCTGGTCTTCGGCAGCTCGGCTCTTATAAGTCTGAGGGCCCTGGCCCAAACGTGTCGTTTATCTAGATTAGCACCAGTTAAATATCTTGTTCAACAAGCTGGCTATATCGGACTTGCGATGGATGCTCAGATCCGTCAGTCTTAGCTTGAGGTTTCAGCCGATTCTTTTGCATTACATAGCGAATGCTGTTACTATTTAATATACCTATTTATCGTGTCGTTTTCTAGTTCCAGTTCCCAGTCTTAAATTAATACTTTTTACTTAATTCCTAAGAGCAAAGCAACCTAGTGTTTAAAGACCAATAAAGCAATCTTAAAGAGAGCCGGCATCCGGAGAAAGTATGTTTTCATCCGCCTGGTGGCTGCTGGTGCCCTGAGCCTGGCCCACACCTAAATAATTCACTATTCATTATTAAATGTTTGCGCCCGCCCATAAGCCATTCACAAATCGCGTAGAGCGCCGCAACTCGAATATTATAAAAAGCTTAGTGCGGCAGTTTGAAAAGTCGAACGGTTAAGTGTTTATAATTTTATTGTAATTTTATCTTAATTTTTTTTGCTTTTGTATATAAATTCTACCAACGCAGCAGAAAGTTCAGGCCACTGCCTTGGCTTCGCTGTGTCACTGAAAATCGGTGTCAAGCTCTCCGCACCGTGGGGCAAATTGGCTCTTAAAGCGGTTTAAACCATATGGATCCGAAGCACGAAGAGTCATGCGGTGGGAAAATTACGTAATGGGGTCTCGTCTCCGGCAGACGATGGCGTAAGCGCAGACGCCTGCTATCTGGACCAGCTTTTCGGGCCCCAGTGGATTTGGCCTGGCTGCACGTCTCCGGCGGCGTCTCTCCAGATTGCCGGACAAAGAGACCCGGGAGACCTGGAGCTGGCTTCTCCGGGAGCCCCGAGAGCCGAAACTTGCATCATATTCGTCACGTAAGAGTCGGGCGTCTGCCTGGATCTCGCGTATAAAAACAAAACAGTGCGCCACAGTTAGGCATTAGTTACCTTCGCAACGATCAACTAACCAACTCAGTTCCAAAATGATGAAGTTCATGGTGAGTCCAGTTTTCTTAATTGATTATAACATCTAAAATCCTTAAAAGTTTGTTCCCTTAAGAATGGTTAATTTTTTTATTAAATTCTAATTTAAAATTCAAGCCTTTTAAATTCTTTGGAATTTTTTTTCTATTAAATTATAAGAATAATATGAAAACCAAACTAATTTGTATTTTATTTTTAACCTTTTAGTGCCTGTGCTTCTGCGCCATTGCCTCCGTTTCGGCGAGTGCCTATGGACGTCCCCGTGGTGGATACGGTGGTGCCCCGGTGGGTGGCTATGCCTACCAGGTGCAGCCCGCTTGGACCGTGAAGGCTGTCATTCCCTCGTACGGCGGTGGATACGGTCCGCAGCCAGCGTATGCTGCTCCCCCGAGGTACGAGGCGGCTCCTCTGGCCTCGGCCTACAGCGGTGCCAACGTGGGTGCTGATCTGATCCCCGCCGCTGGCTACGGTGGTGCCCCGCCCGTCGATCGCCAGGCCATTGCCCTGGCCAAGCTCGCCCTGGCCGCTCCCAATCCCGGTCCCCCACTGGTCTGGAACGAGCCTCCCCGCCACGTCCAGCCCGTCTACCCGCCAATCAGCGTTGGACCCCAGGAGTACGGACCCGTCGAGAAGGTCAGGGGTGGCTCTGCCGCTGCTGCCGCCAGTTCCGTTGCCGCCGGAAAGAAGGCTGCCCAGAAGCCCCGCTACTAAGCGGAAAAAACCATGAACAGTGAATCAGAACTTAGCTATCAATAAGGAACTAGGCCATAATAAATGCAAAACACCGAAACAAAACCACTTAATTTTTGATTTTGTTATTCTTTTGGGTTAAATAATTTCTGGTCAAGAGCTTGGCTCTGCATTTCTTAGCTGAGTTGGCCCAGACTTCGGTCATTTTGCTAAGCTGTGTAATACTTTGACCAGCAGAAATTTCTTGGTCTTGAAGTTGAATGGAAAAGCTGGCTTAAGACTGCAAGAAAAGATTGGTAGTTGCCTCAAGTGGAAAAGTTTTAGTTTTTCACTAAAGTAAAATATTTGAGTGAAGAATTTGTTAAAGCTGCAAAGTTTTAATTTAGTTTGGACTTAAAAGAAAATATTTTTTTAATTTTCCTGGAATTGCATTTGTATAAATAATCTCAATTTAAGATTACATTTACATTTTTAAAGACTTTAAAACAAAAACTATTAACTAGTTCATGTTGTAAATAAATTTTCCAAACATTAATGGATAAATGTTGTTGGAATATAAAACCGGCTTGATCCAGTTTAAGTAAAATGTTGACGTTGTACTAGTCACAACCTACTAGTAAGCCATTACCTACAAGAATGTGAAAAACGCAGGGTTCGTTACAAAAAAAAGGGGAGTATATAGTTCGAATGAACGCGTTCGTGGATCGCCGAATTGAGAGAGTCGCGTGTGAGTGTGATTTTGCGGGACTATCAGAACCCGGACTTAAAACCGGGTCCGGTGCAATGGCACATCGCGTAACCAAGCGATTTTATAATGGCCCGACAACGGGTATATGGTAAGTACATAAGTCAAATGTAGCTATACTCCAAACGGGGCAATTATGAAATGCAATTTCTCGACTGAAATAGGTTAATATGTGTATATAGGTCACGTAAATGTCCAGGCTAAATTTCGCGTATAAAAGCAGGCGTTTCTGGTGGGTAAATCATAGTTTGATTGATTACCCCAAAGCAACAAAACTAAGCACTCACCATGAAGTACCTGGTAAGTTAGCAAAAGGAGTAGTGCCAATGGCAAGTGGCTAATCCTAGTGGTTTCCCCAATCCTTAGATGATCTGTGTTAGCCTGGCCCTCTTCGCCTACATCAACGCCCTGCCGAATCCGTCCTACGGACTCCCCCGAGGTGGTTATGGCGGTGGTTACGGACATGGCCCCGTCCAGCGCGTCGTCTACGAGGAGGTTCCCGTCTATGGTCGCGGTGGATACGGAGTTGGCCGACCCCTCCGATCGGAAGGAAATGGTGGAAGTGCCGCTGCTGCCGCCGCTGCATCCGCCGCTGCCGTGAATCCCGGCAGCTACAGCCAGTGGGTCGTTCCCTCCTGGGAAATCGATGGCGGTCGCGGTCACCCGGTCGGTCATGGCGGATACTAATTCCCGATCCGAAGGCACTGAATCGAACTATCGACCCATTGTTCAAGCCCTCGAGTGGCTGTCCCAGCGAAACTCTGAGTGACTGCGAATAAAAACATCTGCAACGCAACGGAAAATATTGAACAAAAATCATTATTGAGTTTTGCATTTAATGGTTGGCGGTTGAAGAGTGTGTGACATACTTTGCAGCGCAATGGGGTCAAGACTTTTGGGGTGGGGCATTATTCCAGGCACTAGTTGAGCTTTGAAGCCCGTTCAGCATATTAACAATTTCTTCTTTTTCCTACTTAAACAATTTCAATAGAAGATATTTCTTACGAATATTATTGCGAATCAAGAATGAAGTGAAAATTGCTCAGCAGAAATTGTTTAGCTTTCGTTCTTTTCCATCATGTAGAGCAAAGCCAAATTTTGCTGAGTTCTAGACGACTTCTTTTCATGCAAATAAATTATTGTAAATACTGAGGAATGCATTATTTTACCACTAGTATTTATTATTGAACTCATGACCCATATATTTATAAATCTTGAATATTGTAAGTTAGTTGCTTAACAATATTTTCTGTGGGATTAAACCAGATCCGATTTGTTATTAAAAATTAAACAGTTTTCATAATGTCATGCAGCGCTTTAGAGTGATTTAATTTAATTGTGTTTTAAGAACATATATGGTGTAAATAAATTGAGTTTCTTAGGCAAAACAAAATCAATACTTCAGGGTGATTTCACTAGTGGCACGTTGGCTTAACCCACTGATGCCCCTTATCCCCATTTCCCAGCTGCGTGCTCTCACGCACCTCATCTCATTATAGAACCATTGAATGGCTTTCGATTTGGGACTTCAGTGCGAGCATCTTCATCTGCCACCCCCAACGAAGGTCGACCGCCGAATGCTCCGATTATGGACTGCTCCAAAGAGTTCAACCTGCTCAACCTGCTCAAGCCGAAAGAGCTGAGCGATATCTGGCTAGGAAAGCTTCAAGTCCGCAGAAAGTTCCCTCAGCGAGTTGGCCGAGAAGAGACTTTGAAGCCAACTCTTGAGCCGTGATAAATTTCTGGGCGCGATCACGTTTCGAGTGCAAGAATAGTTTTGCTTATATAAGAAGTGTGCTTGCCATTCAATATGTTAATTCTGCCAATTGTGCCAAAACAAACCAGACACCATAGCCATGAACAAGTTCGCTGTAAGTATATGTTCCTCAAGGCTTTTCCGGCTCTCCAGCATCTCCGAGCGAAGGCTAATTTCCTGATTTTCCCATTTCCGATGCTCCAGACCTTGGCGGTTATCTTCTGCGCCTGCATCGTGGGCAGCTGCTATGCCAGCTACGGACCCCAGGTGTATCGCCAGGACGGCTCCGCTGCCTCGGCCGCCAGCTCGGCGGCTGCTGCGGAAAACCAGGGACAGCCGCGTTATGAGCGCCCCGTGGAGATCATTGCCGGCGGACCGCGTTACGGTCCCGAGATCCTGCGTCCCATCCAGATCAGCGGCGGATACGGCGGCGAGCGTCGCCCTGCATACGGACCCCGTCGTCCTGCATACGGACCCCGTTGGACCGTCCAGCCCGCCGGAGCCACTCTCCTGTATCCCGGACAGAACAACTACCGCGCCTACGTCTCGCCCCCGGAGTACAGCAAGGTGATCCTGCCCATCCGGCCCGCCGCGCCCGTGGCCAAGCTCTTCATCCCCGAGAACCAGTACGCCAGCTCCTACGGTGCCGCTCCCCAATACAGCGCTCCCCGCAGCAGCGGCTACTAGGCGCATACTCGATCCCAGCCGCCACGGCGGATACTTGATCTCAGCCTGATAGTGTACATAATAAACCAGAAAAGAAAATCCTAATATTTCCTGACTTATTTTTTGAACTTTTGGGTTTGAGAGCAACATGGGGTAAATAAATTCGGGTTGTTCAAATGCAGCTGCTGCAGCTGTTGGAAAATATTCACATTTGATTGCAGCCATTCCCGGCGGGAATGTGTTTGAGTGGGAAACGTGCTCCGGATTTGTTGCCCCGGTCCAGTCCACTCGCAAATCACTCGGCCAAGCGCAAGAGCCATGAACATTCAATTATTTGTTGTGCCAGTCAGTCAATAATCTTGCGGCCAGCAAGCGCCAGAGTTGAGTTCGCCGATTGGCAAGCGAATTTTCTGGCGGGTAAGCAAACACATCTGCTGACTTGTTTGGGGCCGAGCTCTTGGCCACGAGCTTCAATGCTGCTGGTCGCGGCTTGACATTCGAGTCGAGCGGTGAATCACGGCGAGAATTCTTGGCCCGAATGCGGCACAATTCAGCGGAAAAGTTTGAGTTCAAAATAATGCGGCATTATGAAGAACAATATTTAGTGCACATACGCTTGTAAGCTTCTTGATTGGACAATAAGTCGATACAATTTATGATACTGTTTTTAAGGAGACGAGTATATAAAATATTTTAGTTCAAAATAATTAACAATTAGAAAACTTTATGGATTTCCTCTGTTAAATTTAATTAATTAAGTTGATTCAATTCTTTAATTTGTACTATTAATTATTTCCAAAAATGTGTTGCAACTTATTTAACAACCTAAATATACAAAAATTAACTTATTTGCATTATTAAATTAGCATAACCCTATTGAAATAATACTTACTTAAATGCATTTATTAATAAGCTTCAGTTTTTTAAAAGAAAGTATTAAAAAGTGTAATAGATATGTTCATTTGTTATTATTCTGAAACTAGTTCGGCATTTGACTTTTTGAATGTTTTTTAGGAACTCATTTATACAAAACTAAAAAAAAATCCGAATCTAATAAAGATCTTGTCTTTTTTTTGAATTGAAAATGATAAAAATATTATTTATGGTAATCCTAAAATTACTCAAAGTTACCGAGATAGCGTTGCACGATCTTTGAGGTATAATGTCTATAGAACATTTAACCACCAATTGTGCATTGCAAGGGCAATGTGGCTGGGCCCTTGCAGGTTCCGGTTCACAGATCACTGGCTCAGGCCGACGACTTGGCCCGATTTCCGATGCGTGCAGTGGCCGGATCGCGGCGGAGTGCGGCCAAAGCCCCGATACCGCACACCCCACCAGCGAACGGAGCGAACGGAGCGTGCCGAGCAGGGGGAAGTCGCTATCGGGGAGCAGCTTCTGGGGCTCTCGGGGTTTGCTGGGGGCAGCAGCTTAGTGAAGCAATTTGGCGCGCAATTTCAATGAGCATAGAAATTGGAGACGATCCCCGAGGGGGGCCTTATCGCCCCCGGGGAAAGGGGCGGCGGAAGGGGGGCTGGAGATGCTGGCAGTGGCGACCCCCCGAAAGTGACTGGTCATCGAGCGGGTTTGGTCACGTCTGGTCAGCTCACAAATCGCGGAGCAGCTCAAATGGTGTCGCTATAAAAGCAATTTCGACACACGCTCTGGTTAATTAGTTTTTGAAACACTCCGTTCCTCGCACCACTGCCAAATACTCAAATAACTATGTCCAACTACCTGCGACTTCTCTGCCTGATGGCCGGCTGCATTGCCCTGGCTGTTGCCCACCGGCCGCACTACGCCGGATCCGGATACGGACCCAGCTACGGAGACGTGGTAAAGGCCGCCGAGACCGCCGAGGCTCAGGCCTCCGCGCTGACGAACGCCGCTGGTGCCGCCGCCTCCGCCGCCAAGTTGGACGGCGCCAACTGGAACGCCCTCAACCGATATGGCTGGGAGCAGGGAAGGCCCCTTCTGGCCAGGGAATACGGTCCTCTGGACCCGCTCTACGCCGCCGCCCTGCCACCGCGCTCCTTCGTGGCCGAGATCGATCCAGGTTGGTTACTACCCTAATATTTATTTTTTCACCCAGCGTAGCTCAATAAACAAGACCCCTAACCTTTAGTTAAAACCTTTTTGTAACCAAGCATTACTTTAAAATATCACCTTTACTTATGCTTATATTTAATTTATTTATTTTCAGTCTTCAAGAAGAGCAGCCACGGTGGAGCTTATGGCGAGAAGGCCCTTCTGAACACCGAATCCAAATTGGGTGTTGTGGCTATCTAGAAACTTGGGCTCTACAGCTCCAAGAGTTAAAGTGAATAAAGAGTGATAGCTATTAGCAAAAATTAAAATATGAATGAATTTACTTGGTTGAACTGGGGAAAATAATTGTGCTACATTTAAAATTATAAAAATAGATATTTTTTTGGCATTTATTTTAAAGTGAGCTTAATAACTCTTTAATGCTGAGCAAAGTCAACATTCAGATAAACTTTACTAGTTTACTTGAAGAAACTTACGTCACTGAATGTAATATTTTTGATGAAGAACCTTCATTAATTTTAATCGAAAGTTTTATCTTCCATAACATTTTGCGATTCCCTGTTTTTTTAATCCACTTTTACCCCTTTAGTAAAATTGATTGCCACTTGTTGTTTCTTAATTGTTATTATTATGAATAGAATTTCGTTTTTATTGCAAGATACAAAGTAAAAAATGTGAAATTTGCTCAGTTTTGTTGATGTTGATTTAATGTAAGATTCAAATTCGTTACGAGCACACAGAAATTTACCTACTAAACATAAAGTGAACTAAAAACAGATAGTAGAAGCGGTTGTAACTCGGTTAACTCGATGCTGCGGTGGCGTGCTTAGTGGGATCTTGGTGACGATTATCATTTCCGTTTCGTGATTTATTATATGTATAATCTGTGAATATCCTCCATCCAACGTTATTGTTCAGCCAAACTCTCGTTCTCTCTCTCTCTCTAGACGTATATAAATATTTCGTATGTTTACATCTATTGCTAGCAAAACTCTGCCAAGTTTTCGTTGATTTGTTTTTATTTTGTTTTTAGGTTTTCAGGTTCATTATTTTAATTAAATTACATGAACTTCAAAATAGTATTATTATTATATAGATAGGATGTGTAGTGTTATGTATTTATAGTGTGTAGCCTATACGAGCCCCCGCCGATTTGTCCGCTGGGATCTCGATCGCAGACCACGGCGTTTTTCCATCTTTTTTCGGTTTTTCTTCTTTGGGGGGTGACAAAAAAATTTAAATTATAAAAACTTTCTCACGCAATTCTCGCAACTCTGTTCCTGCACTCTGAACCCTTCGCCTGATTTACTCGGTTCGCTTTCGCGTTCGCGTTCTGTTCTGACAATGAAATGATCTCGGTGCTGGGCGGCGCTGGATCGGCTCTATTCGGTGATCGTCCTTGTGGTCTCCTGGATGTACACCTGGGATCCGGGCACCGTCGAGGTGGTCACGAACGTGCGGTGCTTGGCGCGGATGATGTTCAGGCTGGACTCGGCGGTGTCGGCCCGATCCTCGGCGGCCTCCAGCTCGCGCTGGAAGCGACGCACCCGGGTGGTGGTCTGCTGGGAAACACCCTCCTGCTCGGACAGCTGGCGGCGGTAGATGTTGATCTTGGCAGTGGCCTTGTCCAGCGAGTCCTGCAGCAGGATAAGGTTCTTCTGGTCCTCCTCGCACTGCACTATCACCTCCTTCACGGTGCGCTCCTTCTTGCGCAGGATCTTGATCGTCTCGGCGTGGCGGCGCTTCTCCTCCTCCAGCTCCAGCTCCAAGTCGCGGATGCGGGCCTCCAGCTTGCTGATGATGCGCTTGCTGCCGGCGACGGCGTTCAGCTCGACCTCCTCCAAGCGGATGGACAAGTTCTGGAGGAGATTGATTGGATAATAGGGTGATTATTGTACTACAAAATATGATCAGAAAAATATGGTAATCTCTTCTTTCAGAAATTTTACTAAATATTAATATACTTTTAAATTTGTTAAGCATTTCTATCCACTGAAATCTTATTGATAATAAGTGATTGGTTTCACCATAAAATTCTAAAAAAAAGACGTAGCCAATAATTTATTCTTTTAAAGTCGTTTTTAAACCTTTCCGAAGGGAATTAAACTTCAAATTTACATCTTCTCCCCTGTAAAATCTTAAATCCCCAAATAAACCCCAATACCCACCTTGACTTCGACTTCCAATGACTTCTTGATGGTCTCCAGCTTAACGATGCGCTCCTGCTCCTCGTGCACCTGCTCGACGACGTGCTTGAGCTCCACCTGGACCTTCTGGTAGCGCTCGTCGCTGATGCGCAGCTCCTTGGAGACCTCCTCGTAGTCGGAGGCGACGACGGCCAGCTCCTGCTCCAGCTTGGACTTGATGGAGACGAGGTTCACGTTGACGGTGGTCAGCTCGTTGATGCGGGAGGCGGCCTCCTCGTACTGCAGCTCGACGGTGCGCTTGGCGCGGTTGGCGCTGTCCAAATGGGAGCGGACCTCGTCCAGCTCTCCGTTCAGACCGGCCAGACGGCGCTGGGCAACGGCGTACTGGTCGAGGGTGGCCTGGAGCTGGCGCTGCACATCCTCGTAGTGGGCCTGCAGCTCGGTCAGCTGCAGCGACTGCTTCTTGATCACCTTCTGCAGGTCGATGTTGGTCTTGTTGGCCACGTCCAGGGACATCTCCAGCTCGGTGATCTGGATCTGCAGCTTCTTCTTGATGCGGGTCACCTCGGTCTTCAGCCGGGTCTCCGCCTCGATGACGCGGGCATTGAGCTGCTCGATCTCGATCGAGGTCTGCTTGCTATAGATTTCAATATTAGCATTAGAATTCTGGTAAATACTGTCCAATATTAGGAGTTTTTTTTATCAATGAAGTAGCCCCATTTTACCTCTCAGTGACCCTCTGTTGTTTTGCTTTGCTGACTCTATTTTTGGCCCCAATGTCTGACCCACAAATTGCATTTTTCGCACCACTCAGCACTCAACGCCCAACCACTTGAAAACTTAACCACTCAGGTGCTCTGGCATTGTCAGAAATGTTTCATTGTTTCGCCCGCTGCTGCATTCGCGAATTTCTGTGTATTTTTACGCATGATAAAGACATCGAACTTGTCACAAATAACTCGGGCTAACATGCCAAAGTATTTGCAGCAAAGCTCCCTTTCTCCCCCCTCAATTTTGTTTTGTTTTTGGGGTAAGTGCATCATGCGTCTATTCTTGGGCGTAGGTGCACTAGTCTTGCCAGCTTGCCAACTAAATTTGAGTTGTTTGTACTTGTAATGCTCTACCTGATTCACTTTCTTTAAATTAGAGAGGTGTCTGTTGTAATTACTGATACATAATCTATGACTACCAAATTCTATTTCAGTTGCTGTTCATTAAAACTGATATTAGGAGAATGAGATAAATTTATCGAAATGCTATTTCTATAGCTAACGTAGGTATAATGACAATTTTTGTTGATTTTAATCAAGCAATGTAATTTATGGGTTGTCCTAAATTAAATGCTTATGTATAATTTATGATGCTACAGAACTTCCCAGTTATATCATCATATAATAATGACGAGGCCAATGCTCATTAGCCAGAATTTCCTAGTTCCGATGTTCATTTCGATTAGTTGAACGCTATGTTTTCCTATAAAAATCCCCGTCTTGGTTACTTAATCTTAAAATCGCATTTGTTCTCATTGCTGTCGACTTGCCAAGGCATTTGACTTGTATGTGTCTTAGCTAGAGAACTTAAGTATTCCCATTTAGATTTTAATTTTTCCCTGCCATTGTTTTCAATGTTTACGCAAAAATATTCGCTAGGTCTTCGTCTTCTTTTCGCGTGATTGTTTTTGCTGTCATGCGCATCAGTTTTCTTCGGGGGAAAATAAAATAAATCTCGAATTTGAAGGACAAACCCACAACAATAGTTGGTCGGACCATCTACGCGCAAATCGCACTGTCAGCCTCGAAATTTCTGAGGTGCGGGTGCGAAATATGATAGGACGGGTAAATACTTTAGTTTTTGAGGGAAAGTTGTCTGTAGAATTCGGTGTGGATTAACAGGGTAGACATGAAGAATTTTAATGATAGGGAATCGAGTTTTTTCAACGTAAACAAATATATGTCATTTGAAATGCTTGACAACAAACCAAACGTTTCAAACACTTCAAACGAATTATTCAAGTTTTCTTTCACAAATAATACAGTGTGGCTAATACTTATCCCTAAAATTCCCATAAACTTTGTAATTAATGGCTGGCGAATTTGAGCAATTAGCCGCATAATTCTGTATAAATAATTTACATTAGACTGCACAACAGACACAATAGAAGAAGCGGCCAACATTGTGAAAGAAACAAGACCGCAATCCGCAGAAACGCTTGAAACAAAAATACAAAAATACATTTTGTGCCAGACGAGAAACGACAAACAGACAAATAGAGATGGCAAATGGAAGGTTCGGGGGAGGAGAATTTCTAGGATGTGCAGACAAAAATTGAGCTGCAACTCAAAAATGTTGCATTTATTCAAATGGGAACTGCACAGATAAGCAGAACGATCCACTTGATATTAGCACATTTTTTTACATTGATGAATGTGGATCAATTATAACTCAATAAACTCTTTGGTGGAAAATATACCTAAGAAGATATTCACTCAGAGCCAGACTTTTTTATGGGTTGTTGTTGTCGTTATATATTAATCACTTCATACTTTTTTGATATAAAAATATCCCTTTGGATTGAGGTCTTTAAGATCGCTTACGCACTTTTTGGTATATATTTTGTATCTTCAGAGAAAATTGAAATTTCCATTGCATTGGCAACTAAATTAGCGAATGAATATGAGAGCGAAGGGTTGAAGAGGAAAGGACTGAGGAGGAACTTGGGAAAGGGGAAGGGGACTTTCAGGGAACCTAGTGCTTCCAATACACATAGCTATAGTCCTTGAGCTTGGGATGGGTGCGGAGGACCTTGCGGCAGATCCAGCACTTATCCTCTATACCGCACCTGCTGTCCGCGTAGAACTCGACGGTCTTCTGGTTGAGCGAGGACAGCTGGCGCTTCACGTTGTGCAGCGAGGAGGAGACGCGGTGGTCCAGCTTGTCCACCAGCCGCTCGTCCATGAGCTCGATGTGCAGAGCATGGGCGCGCAGCTGGCCATCGAGGGGGGAGGCGGAGCGCGAGCGGGCACGCGAAACGGCGCGACTCGAACGGACTAAGGTTTGGGCGATGTAGTCCTCCTCCTCCTTCTTGGAGGCCTTGATGTTACGCTCCGATTCGGAGAGCAGCGCCTGGGCAATGGCACTGGCGGACTTGCCGCGAATCGCGC